TTAAAATACTAAAAATTATAGTTTTTATATTTTATATTAAATTCATTAAGTAATAATGATGGCATATCAAATCTAAATAATGGAACTTGATTCTATAGGAAATGAACTTGCTAAATCAGGAATCATAGATATAACATTCTTATCAAATTATATAATAAGAACAAATATAAACTCTAATTATTTAAGAGCTCCAGTACAAATTAGTATTATATTAAATATTGTTGTATCAATAATTCAATTAGAATTTGATTCATGAAAACTATTAAACAAATTTAAAAAATTATATAATCACTTTATTAATTTTAAATCAATTTTCATGTATTTCTTGTAGTTACTGTTCAAAACTATTATATCCTTTGGATACAAAATGAATTATATATAAACCTGTTAATACTTATTTGCTTGTAGAAACATTTTCAAATGTGTCACTATGCTTTTATCCAAATTCAGAAATTAAAAAAATTGCTTTATGCAAATCATGTCTTGATCCTTCAATATGTCAAGCTCCACTAAAACTTGATTCAATTTCAAATAACATTACTTCAGTTTTGATATATTATTGAAAATACCTATTACCAATATATTTAAGTTGTTCTTTAGGTTGCACATCTGAATTAAATCAATATACATATTATTAACATATACAAGGATCATTTGGTTATTCAAAAAATTTATATACTTTAGTATTATATTTAAGTACAATTATTACTTTATTAGAAAATAGTACTTCACAAACTTGGTATTACTTTATTTTATTGACAATAGTTTCAGCTTCTTTTTTATTTAGATTTGATGATATTCTGAATGTAAATTCAATTTAGAAAAATATTTTTAATACCAACAAGATAATCTAATTAATCTTCAATTCAAGATAATAGATAATGATTTTTGATAATTATTTTGTTTAAAGATATAAAGTTTCTTCTTTTTTGTAAACAAAAAGAATAGGAGTGTCAAAAGGAAAAACAGAAGGTTAAATAAATCCTTTTTATAAAAGATCAGAAAGTTAAATTTTTAATTTTATAATTAGATAATTGATTGATAAGATAAGAAAGAAATTCAACATCAAGAATAAGATCAATTTCATAATCCAATCTTCTTTTTGGAAATAATTCACTTGGTAAATTTTCAGTAAAGATATCACTAAATTCTATTAAAATTTTCTTAGTTTCAAGAAGATGTTGTTTTAATTTTTCTTTAGAAGATTTTTCTTCAATTAAATAAAGATTAAACATTTCTTTCTTTGAAGGTATTTTTGTAAATTGTTGTTTTAAAATAAAAATAGTATTGTATTCAAATTTTTTGTTAATTTTTCATCTACCTAAATAGTGAATTATTTTCTTTTAAAATTAAATGTTAAAGTATTATTTTGTCAATTGATAATGGGATTTGTGTTGTATAACTAATTTTTGTTAAAGATTACATCATATTAATTTAATTCAATAACTTGTACTCTAATATATTTTGCCTCATATTTTTTCATTTTGAAATTGATTAATTTAATTTTATTCTTTATTTCTTGTTTATAACCATCTGCTAATTCAATTTTTAAAGATTTAGTTAATTCAATATTTAACTTATATTTTTTAGTAAAAGATTTGTGAACAAAATTATATGTAGCACCACTATTTAATAAAATCTAAATTACTTTTCCTTTTACTGTTCTATTAAATTATAATAATTTTTTAAAGTTTTTTTCAGTATTAGTTAAATATGTTAATTCTTCTAAATTATTACTAGAAATTTTTGTTCAATATTTTTCAAAGATTCTTTCTTTTGTATATATTATTTTGTCACATAGTCCAATTTTTCACAATTAAAATATTTTAGATTAGAGTTAGAATAATAGTTATCATTAGAGTAGTTGTCATTATTAAAATAATTATTATTATTACGATTGTTATTATTTTTCATCTTATTTTCTTCTGATTGATTAAAACTTTGATATTTATTTTGTTAATAATTTGTTTTCTTTTGAGTATCTATTGTATCTAAATTTATATCTACAATTTCATTGACATTATTTTATCTTGAATAGTTAATTCGAGAAATAAAATTTGATTTCTTAAATATAGGAATTTCAAAGATTGTAGTATTGTAATTAGTTACACATTTAATTACATCAACAAAAGTGACAAGAGTTTTATACATTACTTCTTTCTTTGTAATTGGTTTTAATCCTTCCATATATTAATCTATTTTATTATCTTCATATATATTTGATATTTGTTCAACAATATTTTAAAAAGCAGCTGTATAATCTCGTACTAATCTAGTTTATTTTAATTTTTTAATTGTTGATATAATAGTTGTCAGGTTGAAAATAAGTTATAATACTGTTTTTAAATTTATCCTAACTATTATATGCATGAGTTCCATTATTTGTAGTTATTTGTTTGATTTACCATTTCAAAAAAATTCTTTAAGTTCAGTAGTAATATAATTTATTTTAGTATCTCAATTTACCTTTTTCTTTTATTTCCTTTTCCTTTTATCTACTTTCTCTTCCTTAAGTAATACACTTACCTTTTATTCCTTGAGATCTTGAAATCATATTCATTGAAACAATATAATATTTAAAGTAAACTTTTTTTTTTTTTAAAAAAAAAAAATAAAAAAACATTTTTATTTACCTTTTCTCTTTATCTATCTTCTCTTACTTAAGTAATACATTTATCTTTTATTTCTTCAAATTTCAAAATTATGTTCATCAAAATAACATACTTTTTTTTGAATTTTTTTTTATTTTCTTTTATAAAAAATAAAAAACATTATATTTTATCTCTTCTCTTTACCTTAGAACCTTAAAATTGAATTTATTAAGATAATATAATATAATAATAAATTATCTACTGTAATTAAATATATAAGTTTTGTGTTCGATAATACATTATAAATATTATAATTAAGTATTTCTAAAACTCATCACTGGTAATAAATTATTATTTTCGTGAATTAAAAATATTACTAAATAATAAATATCAATAAACTTTAAATTAAATAAATTTGTATTTTTTTTTTCAATAAAACTTTATTTTGTAACAAGTTTATTATGTCAATAGATAGTGAATATGATAGTAAACAAGAAAATATTACTAATAAGCTTTATATTAAAGAAGAATTAACTTATCCCTTTAGCAATAAAATTTTATATAAAAAATATAAAAATAATATTACCAAGTATAGTTTTAATTATCTTATAATAAAAAAAGGTGTATATCTAGTTAATTCTAAACTTTCAAGTAAAAAACAAAAAACAAATAATCTAATATCAAGCAAAAACAAATTGAAATAACTATGTAGTCACATTTTCATTAACTCTTCCATGAAATATAGAAAGTTATACAGTAATTTTAGAAGTTACACCTTAGTTTAATTGTTCTTGTATATTTTAATTTTAATTGGATTAATTTACAAAAGCTGTTGTTAAGTTTTCTAATTAGTTTGTATCATTATTTGTTCAAGAAGTTGTTCTAATAAATTTTTCATATTTGTTAAATTAGTATTAAAATTACTAAAATTAAAGTTATTAAGATCAGAAGTAGTATTTAAATTATTATGGCCAGGGGTTATATTTAGATTATTAGGTTCAGGAGTTATATTTAAATTATTAAAATCAAAAATTAAATTATCAATTTCTTGATTAAAGATGATAAGAAAAGCCATACAAAGATAAAAAATTGGACATTACTTAAAGTAATTAATGAAATCATCACTGTATAAAGGATTAAGTTAAAACTCATTAAAATAAAAGTATATATAGAAATAGAACTCAATAATTTAATAGATAAATTAGCAAAAGAAGGTCATAACAAATCAAACTGTAATCTAAACTTATAAACATTAATGTTAATCAATACAATTAGCTACTGGAATTCAAAACTCATAAAAGAACTTGTGAGGATGTTTACAAAAAAACTAAGTGCAACCAGATAATCAGTTAATTAGTAATTATTAAATAGAAATATAATAACAATTTTAGATAATAAAAATAAAAAAATTTGTTAGGAATTATCATGGCAAACTATAACTTTATCTTATATGGATAAATAAACTACAAATATAAATGATATACAACAAAGATTCATTAATATAAAATTAATAAATATTGAGTTACCTACTTTAGAAAAAATGAAAAAATACTATTATGGTATAAAATATAACACTATAATTATCAATCAAAAACTTCAATATATTAGTAGTATCAATACATTATAACAGAGAATGAACAATTATTTAACTTATTATTAATATTTAAATATATTAGTTTGATCACATAATACTAATTAGTATTACTTAACATTTATTATTATTAATATTTAATATTATTTAGTAATAGTTATTATATTAATATTAGTAGTATTATATTATTTATAGTTATTAGCAAATAGTCTTTTGTAGTACAGTAGTTAAAATAGTATAAATATACCCTTTATCTCAAATAGTTACAGAAATTTTACATTATTTAATTTTATATTTTTATAACTTTAATTAATTGTAATTCTCAGAGGATGAAATGTAATTATTTACATAAGTGTATGTATATAAATTTCCATTAAATTTACATAGTAAAAATGAAGTAATAAATATTATTATTCAAGTTAATAAGTAATAATTTATTAAATATAATAAAGTGGAAGTGAGGATATTAAATGGAAGTTATATAATTAATTAATTCGTGATCTGTGTGCAGATCAGTAAAAATCATCTGATTTAAATATACATTATGGAGATAATTAAATTATGAATAAAATAATTTTTTAGAATCTAGCATTTTCTAATGTCAAAACATAAAAAATATTCAATTACATTAGTTTCACCTAGTGTAATAACATAAAATTTGCATTTCAGAACAAGTTGTCATAATTGGTGGATTTTTCGACCATTGGCTAAAACAGAAAATTTGACTTTATTATATCCTATTTGATTACATATGAAAACCTTAGTCAACCTCAACGAACGCGACTTTATCATAGAAGTTTTTGAAACTACATCTGAATATGGATCAATGCCAGGATATTATTTGCAAGTGTGACAGTATTCAAAGTGAACTATGTCAAACACTTACTGTTGCAATTTGTAGTGTATATAAAAGAATTTTTGAAACAGAAACAAAATTTTCAGGACCAGCAGTAATGGGCTTTGACATACCTACTATTTCTAATGTACTGCTTCAAGACTTGCAATTTCGATCATATTTCTTTTCTCTAGACAAATTACGAATTTGGATTATGAGCGTAGGAAAATCTAACAAATCCAAATGGAATTTAGCTGATATTGGTTACAAGGCAACTTTCATATATACATTTAAAAAGCAAAGGTATGTTTTTGTTCAAGAATTTGAAGAAGATGAATGCACTCTTATAATTTATACAGGAGAAAATATAAAACTATGTTCTTTTACCAATTGCGATCTTGAATCTTTGTGGAAAAAAGTTGGCATATTACAACAATATAATGATAAACTTCTTTTTGGTTTAGAGGAACCTCAAACACAACATTTTATTCAAATTTTATGTATACCCAGTTGTACATTGAATGATTGGAATGATAGTAATTTGATGGAATCAATTTTCGCATATCATCTTAAACGCAGGATTTCAACGTGTATAAACTGAAAAGAATTTTTTAACCAATGGCTTATTGGATTATCAATAATAATTGAATTGAAAACTCAATTGAAAAAACTGTATCCATCTAATCATGAAATTAATGTACGTGAATTTAGAGCTTGGAAAGCTATGCTATGAAATGTTGGATATGAAGAAATTACACTTTTCGAAAAAGATCAATCTCAAGTAAATAATATTGTTATAAAAAAAATTTTAGAAAATTTATTACTTATAATTGTAATTTTTAATAAATAAAATTTTGATCAAGATCACTTACTCCTGAAATTGATAAAACTAATTTAGAGATATTATATAGACAAGGATTTTTAATTTCAATACCTTTTTATTTGAAAAATAATATCAAAACATTTTGGAATTCATTTTGAGAATCTTTAGATGTGAATAAATGTGGTTTGGAAGGACGAACACAAATTTTATCAATAATAGGAGGAAGTTTTACTTATGATGAAATCAAAAAGAATCTAGAAGTGAGTAAAAAATATTAGCGTTTTTAATAGTTTTATTTAATCAATAGCATAATAATTTAGATAATTGTAATATTTTTATACAAAATAAATTTTTTATGTATTTACCATTTATTTAAATAAATTTTATAAATTCAAATTTACTTGTACCAATATTTAATTTATGATGAAAAATTATTTATTAAAGTTGTGTTGCATATTACAGGTGTCTAATGATGCAATTCGTTATACTCGTAAGCATGCACATTTATATGGAGTTGGTGAAAAGGCATTTAAAAAACCTATTATAACGTATAAAAATTTTTCTAAAGAAATACAACAACAACTACAAGCTTTTTTATTAGATAAAGCACATATTGTTATGAGTTCCTATAAAACCGATCCAGTAACTAATGAGCCAGTTCATTATCTTAAGCATACCAAAGAAATATTGTGAAAAAAATACCATGAACAATATTCTGATGGGATGCAATGAACTAGTTTTTTTACTTGATTACAGGAAAAAAAATATATTTATCGTGAAGATCTCAGGGGTTTATGTCAAACTTGTCAAAAATATGGATACGAAATATTTTCTGATCTTTCTAAATATATAGAAAAACATGTAAATCAGTCTCTTATACAAGTATGAAATATTTAAAAATGAAATACTATCAACTTATCTTTTAATCAAATGAAATACAACACTAATAAAATTTTGATAATTTATAGAAACAATTACTAATAACAGTAGACAATTTGAAATGATTTTTAAAATGTGATTATGAAAATTATTTTCACGTTACAAAAAGTGATATGACTTTTCATAATCCATATATCAATCACTACTTACTTTATGCATTTGGGAATTGTACCGAAAACCATAATCAAACTTGTAATAAATGTCAAGAATTATTTAGTTTATTTGAAAATATTAGAAGTTATGTAGATTCAACAAATTATGAAGAACTTGAAGACTTAAAAAATCATTTGCTTTATTACCTTGCACTAAACAAGAAAAGTCTATTTAAACATACAGTTCAATGCAAACTTATTAGAATTAGACAAAAAAACTATTTTAATTTTAGTAGATTATAAATGAAAATATTATCAAAAATAACTCGAGAAATAAAAAATGATTGGTTTGGAAAAAAGGGATGGTCATTACATACAGTTATGGTATACAGGAAACAAAATAGCTCTTCAGTCCTTCAAGTACAAGCCTATGATCATTGGTCTGCAGATACCCACCAAGATTCATGGTTTACGGCCTCATCACTTTATGCTGTTATTGAAAATCTTAATTCTAAACCAGAATCAATCATTATGATGTCAGATAATGGTGGTCATTATCACAATGCTGACTTGATGATGATATTGTCATTTTGGCCCAAATGGTACAATATTGAAGTTAAAAAATGAATATTTCTTGAAGTAGGTGAAGCAAAAACTAGCATTGATTCTCATCATGCTCAAGTATGTAAAATAATTGATGCATATTTTGTATATTTTTAATACTGTGTAACTAAACTTATCTGTACAATTATAGATTTTACATGTCATTAATAGATATGTTCGTTTAGGTTTTGATATACAAACTGGTTAAGACATTGAAAATATAATAAAAAATATTCGTAGAACATCAGTTGCTCATTTACAACCTAATCGTAATAGAGGTAAATACTATATAATTGTTAATTTGCATAAATGTTATATATTAACAACTAATTATTTTTGATAATGATAAAGGAACTGGCAATAATACATTACTGGATAATTCCAATTGGTTTGAGTGGCAATGGCAAATTACCGGAGATTTAGATGGATGTATTTTAGCACGAGCAATTCCAAATATTGGAGATTGAATTATATTTACTTCAGCACAACTAAAAAAATTACAAAATTGTGAAATTGAAATACCAAAACCACTTTCATCAAATTATACTATACCATCTACATCATGGGAGGTACCGATACCCAATTCAGAACGTAAGTATAATTATGGGTCAATGATAAAATATGATACAATACTAATTTATTTTCTATAAATATAGATATTCGAATAGATCACTTGTCAAAGGAAAAATTAATAAAGCACTTACAATTAAAAGGTATTGAAATTAATGAAAAGGAAAATAAAGTTGAATTGATCAAGAAGTTAGAAATAGAACTAAATAAAGATAATATCTGTGTATGATCAGATAATGGTAATAAAAGGTTTATTTGCATTTGCAAATATAAAACTTTTGAATAATGTTTATAATAGCTTCTATATAGGTCATAATGTTTTAGTTGATATAACCAATCAAAAAGCTCAACAAAATTTGAGTTCACCAAGTAATTACAAGGAATTTCCTTTGCAGTCGAGTTGGGCTTTAAAACAAAATCAGAAATTCAGAAAAAAGGGAGCTGAAAAAAGAATGTCTATACATGTAAGGACATTATTAGAAGGATTTTTTTTGGCAGGAAATGTTAACAAAAGCAATCGCTATATTGCAAATGATATGTACAAAGAGTTAGTAAAATGTGTACAAGAGGGAGAAATTGGCAATGAGGAGGTGTCAAAAGTTGGCACTATTCAAAATTGGATAAACAAAATGACATGGGTGCATCGTGAACAAGCAGCGGCAAGAGTTTTAGAAAGTAGTAATACATAAAAAAATAAATGCATTATAGTTATTCTACTAAAAATAAGCCAGGAATCTGACGTTGCCATAAGGAAAAGTTTTATTTTTATTAATTAAATAATATAATAAAATAATAAAATAATAAAATACGGTTTTTAGCAATAATTTTATAAGGAAATATTCTTCATTACAAATATAAAATATAAAGTTGACTTTGTGATGAAAAATAGATATCAGGTATCTTTTAACTTATTAACCTATAAAATTTCACCCCAAATATGATTAGCTAATTTCACTAATCTGCACATAGATCACGAATTAAAGTTTATACAGTAAAATATTTATGAGAATCTCTTGAAGAAAAATATAATATATACTTATCTTATCAATATTTGTTAACTTATCTTCAACTTCGTTATCAAAATATTTTTGTCACATGTCATCATTATCATCTAACAAAGGTTAGTCTTGTTTCCATAATACGAATAGAGATGAAATCTCATATTGATGAATATTATTATCTAGCTTTCATTAAAGTTATGAAAATATTTGTTGAAGTTTTCTCTAATATAATAATTATTATCTTTCAAGATAATAAAGCAAAAGTCGAATTAGGTATTTCTGTAGTTGATCATATGTTCAAAATCATCTAAACTATTAATAAACCAGTTATTATCAAAAATTACAATTTTCCAATTGGTTCAAAAATAAAATTGATACCTTCTATTTATCTTATAATTAATTTAATCAATTCAAGTAACACACTATAGACTAGTCAATTTTTCATATTCATTAAGTCAGAATATTTTATTGGAAAATCATCAAAAATTCACATTATTAATTTAGAAAGTATCACGATAAAAAATTTTAATTATTCTAAAAAAAAAAGATAAAGTTAGACTTATCTAGATTCTTCTTGTTAAACATAAATTCAATAAAAATCCAAAACACATAAAAAATATTATTCAATATACTCATCTTTTTTATACCTTTGATCTAGATTATTTAACTATTCAAACTCATACTCTAGATTAAAGTACATATAATCCAGTAAAATGTTATTGACCCTAGTTGTTAAATCTTATTATTATATTTTTATTTTATTATCATGTATAATTATACTTTATTAGTTTAATTTCATATTTTTATTAGTATATATTATATAGGAAACTATTAGTGTAAATCATTTAAAAATTGGTACAACTATTGGATATTACAACTGTAGATCTGAGTGTAATCAACAGTATAATGAACAGCGTAATCAATAGTGTATTCAATAGTGTAATTGATAGTGTAATAGATAGCATAATAGAAAGTGTAGTTAATAGTGTATACATCAGTATAATTAATAGTATATGCATTAGTGTAGTCTACAGCGTAATCTATTATAACTTCAATTATATATATAAAGGGCTGAATTTCTTTTTACTCAGTCCTTAGTTCTAGTCAATTAGCTTCAAAAAGTTCCATTCGAGTTAAATAGTTAACTCCCAGTTCTTATTAATAAAATACTTTGTAATTTGTCTTATAAATAATACTCATGTAAATTATTATTTATACTATTATAATTTCTTAGTGAAATTCTGTATTATTCCTTGGTAGAATACTGAAACCTTTGTTAATTATATCTTGCTTTGTGATCTTGGTATATTGTTTTTGTGTTATAATTCTCTACTTAGTATTAAGAATTGTCAGTTTAGTTTACACTAGTCGAAAATTGATAAAACATATACATATCGGGTACCCGATATGTGCATGGTGTTTTTCTAATATCAGGCATATATCGGGTACCCAATAAGTGTAGAAAATATTTTTTTACACTTATTGGATATCCGATATATATATAAAATATTTTCTACACATATCGAGTACCCGATATATGCCCGATATTAGGGAAACACCATGCACA